CTTCTTTTGTGCCACAAGAATCTGTTCTAACAAATTGCTCACATAAAAACATTAGCCCAAATCTACATTTTGGTTTGTTAATCATCAAAACCAAGGATTGATCGATCAAGGTCAACAAAAAATATCAAAACCGACTACTACTCAAGTGAGAAACGACCAAAAGAAAGAATTGAACAACGAAAAATAATAAAACCAATATTTGGATTGCCTCCCAAAAAGCGCATCTCTTTAACGTCTTTGGCCAGACATAGCTAAGTGTCACTAATTTGAATAAGTAGGTGCATCCAGATGTATCAGTTCCACTTCTCCACTTGGAAAGCTCTTATAATAATGTTTGAGACGGTGTCCATTGATCACAAACTTATTGTCTGTCTTAGTACTTTAGATTTCTACTACACCATAAGGAAAGACATAAGTGACTATAAAAGAACTAATCCAAAGGGAACGTAACTTACCTGGGAAGAGCTTAAGCCTGGATTAGTATAGGAGAGCCTTCTGACCAACTACAAAGGTCTTTCTCGAGATTTGTTGGTCATGGAATGCCCTACTTCTCTTCTTGTGAATTAGTGCATTTTTATACGTTTCGTTCATGATCATTTCCAATTCTTGCAACTCCAACTTCCGATGGACACCGGCCTCCTCTAGATTCATGTTACACTCTGCTTTATCGTCCAAAAAATCTTGTGCTCGAATTCCATTGGAAGATGACACGGTTTTCCAAATACCAACCTGTAGGGTGACATGCCGATAGAGGTCTTATATGCAGTCCAATAAGCCCAAAGTGCATCTTCCAACCGTTGACTTCAATCTTTCCTATCTGGTCGCACTATTTTTTCCAAGATGGACTTAATTTTTCGATTCGACACCTCTGTTTGACCATTGGTTTGAGGGTGGCACGACGTTGAGATTTTGTGAAGTACACCATACCTTCGAAACAGTTCAGCTATGGTCTTATTATAGAAATGCGTTCTCCTGTCACTGACAATAGCTCTTGGCATCCCAAAACGTACAAAAATATTAGATTTGATAAAATCTGCAACCACTTTCGAATCATTAGTCCGGGTGACCTTAGCCTCCACTCATTTGGAAACATAATCGATTGCCAACAAGATGTATATAAAACCAAACGATGTAGGAAAAAATCTCATAAAATCTATACCCCAAACATCAAAAATTTCTACAAAAATTAACGGGATTTGGGACATATGATCTCTACGAACTATATTTCCTACCCTTTGACATCAATCATAGGATTTACAAAACACATACGCATCTTTAAACAATGAATGCCAATAAAACCCACTCTCTAATACTTTATGAGCAATTTTCTTTGGTCCAAAATGACCTCCACAGGCAAAAGTATGACAAAAGTTAAATTAACTAAAATTCAGTTTCACTTACACATCTTCTCATCACTTGGTCAGCACATCTTTTTCACAAGTACGGGTCGTCCCATATGAAGTACTTGGCATCACCCTTCAACTTGTCTCTCATTGATTTTGGCCAACCTATAGGGAATTTGCCCGTTATTAGGTAATTTACTAGATCTGCATACCAAGACAATTGAGAATTCAAAGAAAAAAAAAATTCTTCAGGGAATGCATCCTTCAATGTTTCGTTTTCCTTTCCAACTAGTATGCGACTCAAATGATCGCCTACCAGATTCTCTGAGCCTCTTTCATCCTTTATCTCCAAGTCGAATTCTTGCAAGAGTAATATCCATCTAATGAGTCTCGATTTCGCATCTTTCTTAGTCATTAGGTACTGCAACGCTGTATGATCAGAAAATACAATAACTTTAGTACCTAATAAATATGACATAAACTTTTCTAAGGCAAAGAAAATCGCAAGAAGCTCCTTCTCAGTAGTGGAGTAGTTCATCTGAGCTCTATTCAAGGGTTGGGACGCATAGTAGATGATGTGAGTTATCTTTCCTACTCTTTGCCCCAACACAGCTCCCACTACATGGTCACTGGCGTCGTACATGATCTCAAATGGCAAACTCCAATCAGAGAGTCGGATGATTGGTGGCGAGGTTAATAGCTCATTCAACTTATCAAAGATTCTCTCACACTTGTCATCGAATTCGAAAGTCTCTTCTTTTTGTAAAAGTTCGAACAAAGGGGTTCCAATTTTTGAGAAATTCTTGATGAACTTTCAGTAAAATCCTGCATGTCCAAGAAAAGAATGCACTTCTCACACACTCGCGAGGTTAGGTAAAGCAGATATAATGTCTATTTTACCCTTGTCAACCTCAATACCCCTAAAAGATACAACATGACGTAGGACTATCCCATATTCAACCATAAAATGACATTTTTTCAATTAAACACGAGATTAGTCTCTATACATCTCAATAAGATCAATTTCAGGTTATTTAGACAAGCATCGAAATTATCACCATATACACTAAAATTGTCCATGAAAATCTCAATAATTTTCTCCACATATTCTGAAAAAGATGCTTACTATACATCTCTAGAATGTTGTAGGTGCGTTGCACAATCCAAAGGGCATGCATTTGTATGCAAAGGTCCCGAACGAGCATGTGAAGATCATATTCTCTTGATCTTCTGGTGCGATTGTAATATGAAAATATCCTGAAAATTCATCCAGAAAATAATAATAAGCTCGACAAGCTAAACGCTCAACCATTTGGTCAATGAAAAGAAGAGGAAAATGATCCTTTTTTGTGACAACATTCAGTCTGTGGTAGTCCATACACTGCCTCTATCCGGTGAGTTTGTGCACTGGTACGAGCTCGCCCGTTTGGTTGGTTTTCACTGTCACTCTTGCATTTCTTTGGGACTACCTAGACTGGATTCACTCATGGGCTATCTGATATCGCGAATATGATCTACACATTCAACAACTTCAATATCTCTTTTTTCACCATTTCTATCATGAGGAGATTGAGTCTCTTTTGAGTTTGCCGTACAGGTTTGGAATTCTCTTCTAACCTTATTTGATGCATATAGATGAAAGGAATGATCCCCTTAATATCGGCGATGGTCCATCCTATTGCCTCCTTATACTCTCTAAGGACTCGAATTAACATCTTCTCCTGGGTTTCTAATAGTGTAGCTAAGAAAATCACCGAGAGTGTTTCGTTATCGCCTAGATACGCATACTTCAAGTGTTTCGATAGATGTTTCAACTCCAACATAGGTGCCTGCACCATAGATAGTAGTACCCTCTAGTGAGATTCGGGTATAAAAACAGGTGCGAACTCATACCTTTTGGTCATAGTTGGCAATGAGTGTAACGCCCCTATTGTACATTTCAAATCTTCACTTAATTCTACCTCAGGAGTTGTCTCCAACTCAAGGTACTTGGTTAAACCAACCTTCAACTCATCTCTGCCAACAGTTTCAAATACTTCCTGCACCGCAGGGTCAATAGCACTCACAGAGAAAATAGAGCTAAATTTAGAATTTGAGGGATATTTCGCAGTGTCAAAAATATTGAAACGAACAATTTTTTCGTCAAACTCTATGAACAAAATGCCGTTGTTAGTATCTATTTTAGTCTGTGCTATGCTCAAGAAGATTCTACCTAATAGCAAGTGTGAGGGATCGGGGGAATGATAATCATCCATGTCAAGTACATAAAATTAGTTGAAAAAATCAATTCATTAATTTTTACCAAAACATCTTCAATCAACCCATCAGAATATGTATTGATTCGGTCAGCTAATTATATTATGATCCCAGTTTCTTTTAAAGGATCTAAGTTCAAAGAAGCATATATGAATTTTGGCATGACATTAATCGAGGCTCTTAGGTCTAATATGGCCTTTCAAATCAAGGTGTTATTTATCCTACAGAAAATAGTAAACATATTTGGGTCCTCACACTTTGGTGGAAGATTCCTCTAGAGAACTACTGGCACATTCTCCCTCATAATGACTCTTTCATCTCCCATCAACCGCCTTCAGTTGACACACAAGTCCCTCAAAAACTTTACATATTTGGGTACTTATTTGATCGCATCCAGTAGGGGAATGTTAATCTCTACCTTGCGAAAAATCTTCAAGATCTCTTTCTCCTTGTCATGCTTTTTTGGTTTTTCCAACCTGTTAGAAAAGGGAGGTGGATTAGTTTTAATTATAATAATTGGATCCGAGAGTACCTTTGCATCTTTGTTATCTTTGCCCTCCTTTTCCAGCTCTTTTTCAATTCGTTTCCCGTCCTTGTTCTTTGAAATCACCAATTCAGGTCTTTAGATTTCTTTCCCGCTTCTTAAGGTCATTACACTTACATTCTTCGGGTTCAATTCAAGTTAAGACGGCAGTTTTCTTTGGACTTGGGATTCTAGGCGGTTAATTGCTATCACCATCTGACTTATCTGACTCTGCATTACTTGTATCTGTCCCAATTGATTCCTCAAATTTTGTAAGTCAGAATCCATCTTGTGTTGATTAGCAATTAATTGCTTCATCATCTTTTTCATAAACGGATTTGAGTTTGAAGGGGGTGGTGGTGGGCGAGGTTGATACTGTTGTTGATACCCTTGCTGTTTATTTGGTGCAAAATTTGACTACCTATTTCCTCCATAGCTAAAGTTAGGGTGATCTCTCTAACCCGGATTATACGTATTCGAGTACGGGTCATATGGCTTTCTTGGCGAAGACGCGTGACCAACCATGTTCACTTGCTCCGCACTTTCTTCTTGGATTATTGGGCACATTTCTGTAAAATGACCCATAGCAGTGCAAATTTCACACACCTTGGCTTGTGATGCATTTCCTACAGCCAAACAAAAAATGTTAGCTCCGTCAATTGCTGCTGGATAGAAGATGTCTTTATCTCATCACTTTGCATGTCAGGACATCCTCCCTCGTACCAAACTGCTGCGAATTCTTGGTCATTCCTTCAATTAGCTCTCACGCTTCTCAAGGAATCTTGTTCACCAATGTCCCTCCACTTGCAGTATTAATTATACTCCTGTCTTTGAAGAGTAGCCCCTCGTAAATATATTGTATGAGCAATTGCTCACCTATTTGGTGTTGAGGACACTTGATACACAACTTCTTGAATCACTCCTAGTAATCATAAAGCGACTCTCTTGGATGCTGTTTGATACGGCATATCTCCTTCCTTAGATTCATAGCTCGAGACACAAGAAAATATTTATCTAAAAACTTTTTCTTCAGTTGATCCCACGCGGTGATGCTACCTGGTGATAGGTAGTACAGCCAGTCTTTTGACGAGTTCTTCAAGGAGAAGGGGAATGCCCTCATTTTTATCTGTTCTTCTGTAATTCCCGGGGGTTTCATGCTGTTGCAAACGGTATCAAACTCTTACAAGTGCTTATACAGCTCCTCACCTGATAAACCATGAAAAGATAGCAAGAGATGAATTAGATTAGATTTTAACTCAAATGAAGTGTTATCATTTAAACTTGAAAAAATAATGCATAAAGGCTGCTGATTTAAATCAGGAGCAGCCAACTCCCTTAATGTTCGTGCATTAACCATAGTAAATTTTTCTCGATTTGAGTCACTTGAAGTATCACCAAGTGAACTTACTGTTTCAACTTTCGGATCAAGTCTCTGAGATGCAGCACTAAATTGCTCCTCTCTGAGCTGTCTGGTCTCGTTTCGTGTTCGCCGCGTAGTTTTCTCTACCTCAGGGTCGAAAATTAATTCACCTGTACGAGAAGAACGAGGAATACACTAGAAAAGAACTAGAAAATTGGAACAAAAATAAATTTAAAAAGAAACAAATAAACTAACGCCTGTCCCCGGCAACGGCGCCAAAAATTGATAGATTGTCAATGTCTGTACAATAATAAAAATAAATCTAATTGCTAATTAAAATAATCAAAGCCCAATTCTGAGTACTGAAGCAGGAACTCTAGGTGTGCAATAGGTTACTTGATTTACCCTATTCCCGAAAAGTTTGCTTAACCCCCCGATATACCAGAATGGGATTGCTTATTCACAAGAAATTATTAATTTGTAAACAGGACAAGTAGGGTCATATTCTCAGGAATTGGGAAAAATCGTTTCTTTTCAACTCCATAGTAACAAGGGGTGTTTCTGTATAAACGATGACAATCAAAGCAGTTCAAATAAAATCAAATAGCTAACTAAAAATTAAATAATAATTTACTAAAATCAGATTAATGATACTAAAGATCCAGTCAAGAAATAACTTCAGCAATGGTTCGCCTAATTGATCATCGATGCAAAGGCAATTCCAATTATTTACTAATAAATAGGTTATAACTGTTAAACAAGCGATGACAGTCAACCTCTCTTTACTGTATCGGTGATTATGATACGCTCGTTAATAATTGGTCTAATTAAGAAATAATCTTAGGTACGGCAGTAAGATTTAATTCCCCAATTACCTTATATATTAGAGGAACCCTATTCTAATCAAATAACGCACTAGCAGGGTTATTTTAGATTAGCTTGTGTATTCACTTGACACAAATCCAATCATGCCACTTGTCACTATTTCAGGGCAATTAAACAATTACGGATTTAATGCTCTAATCGACAATAGGTTACCAAATTAATTCGACATCCGAATCTAAGATAATCAATTAATTAAATAACCATAAGCACTGCAATCAGGGAATATGTAAATACCAATAAATAAGAGAAAAAGATAAAATTAAATTGATCTCACAATTTTTAGACGAACCAAAACCTCCGTTGTTTCTAGACTAGAAAAAGAGATTTAGTTCATCCCTGATGTGAAAAACCCACACAAAGCTGCAGAGAAAGTAGCGGCCATTGTCCTTCGAGACTGGAAAAATTCAATTCGTTGGAATAATGCAGAAAAGCCAAGCTACCCAAAGTCATCAATTGTTTTTCCTTGTCATCACAAACGAAGGAACAACTACTAATAAAAGATGGAAAAGAAAAGTCAAAGGGAAAAGCTAAAAGTAGTGCCTGTAGTCTACTCTATTTTCCTATCTAAGTCCTACTTTCTTTCTACTTTGCGGCTACTCCACTCCAAAAGAAAAGTGTGGCTTCTCTCAGTCTTCTCCTTTTCGCTCTCTTCGGGGATCACCAAAAGAGGAAAAGTTCCCCTTTTCCAAAAATGCCCCTGGATGCCGTATTTGCTCCTGGAATAAAGGCTGCTACTTGAACTCCTTTTCTGATTACTATCAAATTGCCACTTGTGCTGGTATTTTTATTCTACTCCTTGTAATAAATACAAATTTTTAAAAGTGAGTAGAATCTGACAATTAATCCATATCATGTCAGGTAATAGGGGAAATTAATTATAAAATAAATGATAAAATTGCAACCTATCAAGCACATATAGGATTGTCCTCTAATTTTGTGTGCCTTCATTTTATTTTCTATCTCTCAAATTTCAAATTTCCTTTCTCGCTTGAACATTTACAAAGGTATCAATATTGATCCTTTATCAAATAAGAAAGGAACTTTATATTTGAAGAATGTTTACCTAATAATGAGATAAATATCTCTCACCAATCAAAAAGGATAGAAAATAATTTACAAAATTTAGTGTTATAATGAAACTCTTATGGCATCCATAATGGTTGAATAGTCTGTTTTACTCATGCAGTCTACCTAAAATATTATAGTCAATAAATCTACGATCTTTAAAGATTTATGATTTATTTTCTTTATTTTATTTTATAATAAAGAAAGATAGCCATAAGTTTAGAATTTATTTTATATTCTTTACAAAGAGTTGATTTATGATTTTCAACTCTTTATTTCCTTATAGAGATATATCTTAATCTCTTATGCCAAACTTTAAGGAGTTTTTCCAGTGATAAACATATTTGCTACCAATATAATTATTATGATCAAGTACAGTATATTGTTCAATTCAACGGATAGTACTAGAAACTTTAGAATTAATAACTTTACAATTTTCAAAATCTACCACCAAATATAATAAAAAACTTATTATACTAGCAGCACAAATTGACTGATTTAGCCAATTCACCAAATATATCACAATTTATAACACTCAACAATTGAGATTTTGTTTTGAGTTACTTTCTTTCAAGGTAGAGTCTCAAGTATCATTCTCTTACAAACAATGTTGGTCTCTATTGTTGTTTGACTTAATGAGAACAAAATTACCTTTCTTTCCATTTCTTCTTTCATGAAGCTTAAGTTTCTCTTATTTCTTAACCGCTTTATCCTTTCTTAATACACATGTTTAAAACAAGTAATTAACCATATATCTTTATGAGTATTATAAAGGTTTGAATGGTTAAAAAATTCTGCATGAAAGAATCAAGAATGAAATGCTATAGAAATAACTCAACCTCAATTTGATGGGACTTTAATGGATGATATAGCAAAATTCTCAATTCTAAGAAGTGAGCTAAATACACTTCAATATTTAAGTGTCACAAAAGAAAGCCTTCTAATGGTGCTAGTTAAAACTTACAACAATTTCTTTATGGCTTTCATGCAAGATTTAACTATAAATAATTAGGGTTTGAACCCTAATTTATATGAATATGAGACAAAATGAGAAAACTATTAAATTGCTCCCAATTCTCATACTCAACCTCTATATTAGCAAATATATCCACATTATGAGAATGGTTTGTTCATTCTCATGAAAGTGCTAATTTAAAACTTGCACCAAAAATAAAAGAGAATGAATTTAAAAATCAAGCTAATAAGAACCATAAAATCATTAGAATGAAACACTGAATTAACAATCAAGAACCATATCATAAAAAAGCTATGAATTTGTACCTTGATTTTGAATCAACCTTACATTAATTCAAATATTAAATTCAAACCTTTTTGTGGACAAAGGTTGCAAACATGCATAGAATTTACTTTACTTAATCATAAGATTAGTAATCTAGAACAATGAATTAAAGAAATAATTCGTACCTGTAAGCATAGAAATATCTCTTAATTGACTGACTAATTTACCATCTTATGTCAATTAATCTCATCAAAATAATTACCTCCTTGTGGGGCAAGATAACTATCTCAATGAATTAATTGCAACTTGATATACATGCCATTTTTTTTAATTTCTCTAATCACTTAGCAATATGTGAAAAAGAAATACAAAATTTCTCCAAATACCAAGATACTTAAGATGCTGTGACTACTCCTAAGTATACGGCGTTATAAGAAAAATTGTCAACTAGTTAATATGTTGACTAAAAATTCACAATTTCAATCACCAAACTGTATGTGATGAACAACTTTTCTCATCAAATATTTGGGATGCTGTGGTTACTCCCAAATATATAATATAAAAGTGAAATTTTTAGCATGGCATCTTGTTATTTGTCAATAGTCAAAAACTTTATGTTGACTAAATTTCATTGAATTTTTCTTTCCTTTTATAATCACTTAATCTTATGTGATTAGAGTTATTTACACCGTATATTTGAGATGCCGTGGCTACTCACAAACAAACGATGTAAGAAAACTTCTAATGAAAATTCATAGAAAATAAGTAGTCAATTTGTTGATTAAAAATCCTTGATTTTGATCACTAAACTATATGTGATCAAAATTGTAGTACACCAATGTTTGAGATGTTATGGCTACTCTCAAATATAAAATGTGCTAGATTTTATAAGGATATCAAAATAGTCAAAAAAATCTGTATTTTGACAAAAGAATTTCATAATTTCCTTTTTTTATTCATTTTTTAACCACCAGCCTTTATGTGATTAAAATACTTCATGCATCAAATAATTAAGATGCTAGACACGCTTTATAAAGGAAATTCTCTAAAATTTAAATATAATCAACCATACTAATGTTGACATTATAATATGAGATAAATGAACATAAGTGTAGTGTACAAAATACTACAAAATTTCAAATAAAAACAGGAACGTGGAGGCAAATTCATATTGAAATCATGCCTTTAGATATTTATCTCATAATAAAGTAGCAGGGATTCAATAAACCTGCAGATCCATTCATATAACGTCAACCAATTATCTTGCATAGATTAATATGATATTAATCTTTTGATTGTTGAATATAACAACTCTTTATATGTTTCTCGAATTGTTATATTGTATTGATAATAATAATCAATACATATAACCCTTACAATCACAAATATATAAGTCCAAAAAACATTCAAATTCCTTGCAACCTTCCAAAAATCT